AATTGCTTCAATTGATTGATGCGTCCAACTTCGGTGCAACCTCTCTTTCGTTTTTTCTATGCCACTGATGCTCGCTCTATTTCTGTCACCGCAAAGACAAAAACACCGGGCTACACAACTGCTGATCTGACAACGCAAATGGATCTGATAGATCCAATGTTAGTGAAATCTACAAATGCTGTTGTTGCTGCTGCTGCTGCAGAACAGAAAAATTAATGAACTCGCTAAAGTAGTATGTACTACACACTAAATCGCAGTTGGTGATTTGTCGTCGACTGCAAAAAGTTTGCTGCTGCTGTTTAGATTTTGTAAAAAAGTCGACAGCTACAAAGTTCTTCTTAAGTGCATCAGCATCAGCGCACTTCTTTTTAATCTCCCTTGGCTGATGCTGTTGTCCATCCTGTATCTTCGTTTTGCCACTTAATCTGCTTCTATTAATAAAAAAATAAAAAGTCGCAGTCAGTAGCAAGCACTAAGCAGTGCATCGAATCGATTGTCTTTCAATCACACACACTTGTACTCCGGCAAATGTGTCAATTCATGTGCTAATCTGCCGAATCAATGGCCCACCACTTCAACTGACAGTGCTTTGCTTCGGCTAATTTGGGATCAATAGTTTTTTACAGCAGTGACGGCAACAACAAAAAAAAGAAAAGACAAAAATGTAAAACTAAAACTAAAGCTTCAGTTAAAGTACAAATCCTTAATTAGCTTCAGGAGAAGAAGCAAAAGAACAATCGAGTCACGTGTCGGCCAAATAAAATAAAAATAGAGATCAACAAACCGGCTGACTGACTGACTGACAGAGTGAGACACTTTTGAGCGTCATTGAAAATGGCAGATTGAAAAAGAGAAGCGAACCGTCCGAACGAGTTTGACGATGTAAATGCCAAATTGTAACAATGACCACCACCGCCACCACCACAACCAGTCAAAAAAACCAATCGATCTCACTGAGCGACTGGACATGGTCGAGGAAGCTCACACAGAGCTTCACCTCGGCTTTTAAAGTTCACCACCTCTCGACGTATTTGAAATATCAAATGTCAGTTCAGTGTAACTCTCATCATCACCATCAGCATTTCACCTCACCCTCACCACCTCATCACCTCACTACCTCCGTCATCAATTGGTTCAATTTGACGTAGACTGAAAGAGAGAAATAGATGAAACTGCCGTGCAAAATGGATGAACGCATCGTCGAGGTTAATTGATCGGAAAGACGCATCTCTGGCGTCAGCGATGCTGCTGTTTTGATGCAGTGGTAGTGCACAGATACTTTCGGTGCGTGACCACCACCACCACCACCACCGNGATCGTGTTCAGTGACTAACCAAACAGAAACAGCAGCAGCAGCAGCTACCTCAGCATCGAAATCAAATCAGCAGTTTGATTTTGTTTTCTCCTAGTGTCAGTGTATNAATCGTGTTCAGTGACTAACCAAACAGAAACGGCAGCAGCAGCAGCAGCTACCTCAGCATCGAAATCAAATCAGCAGTTTGATTTTGTTTTCTCCTAGTGTCAGTGTATTTTTTTTCTTTGCATATGTGTGCTCTCAATGTCAACTTTGCATATGGCTCAACCGGAACATCAGCAGCAGCAACCAACGTCAATCAACGATGACAACAGCAGCAACAGCAGCGACGAGGAACGAGCCGCAGCCTGTAAGTCGACCTCCAAAGTTCTTGGTAGCACAAAAAAGAAAGAAAGCAGTTTACTTCTCAGCAAAAAGATGGATCAAAAACATGAGATAAAGCGGGGAATATTTACAAACACACACGAGGAATACTCACTGAAAGCATTCAGCCAAAAGTCTTTCGGCTGAACTTCAGCCCTTTCGCCTTCCTCGCCAGTCGCTTCCGCTCGCTGAGGTGGTCCTTCAGCTGCCTCGCCTTTGCCTCATTTCGAACCTCTGCCTCCCGTTCCCGTCCGCTGGAGCTGGGCGTGAAGGTCATCACTCGATTGCCGCCGATGCCGCCGTGCAGCAGTCGGGCGGATTCTCCCGATCCACCTGAAGATTGTTGTTGTTGTTGTTCACTGCTTCGCAGCCGCTGCTCAAAGGTCTGCTTGGCAGTGTTCACCACTCGTCTCTGTTTTCCTTTGGAGTCCTGCTGGGCAGTTGCGGGCAGGCCGTTGTACGCAGTGTCGCTCTTCATTCGGTACACTTTGGTGGTGATTTGAGAGGTTGGAGGCGATTCAGTTGGCTTTTTGGTCGGTTGTGGCTGTTGTTGTTGTTGTTGTTTTGCCGGCTGCTGTCTTTGTTGTTGTTTTTGCTGTTGCTGTTGTTTTCGGTCAGTCCTGGTGTCCTCGAGATCAGCGTCTTCATTTTCATCTTCCTCTTCATCATCATCATCACTAAACTCCTCTTCACTGTCTTCAGCAGCTGCAGCAGCACCAGCACGACCACCACCACCAGAAAACAGATCATCATCGGAGTCCTCGCTCGAGTCGCTGCTGATCTCTCCCTCGCCCTCTCCTTTCCCAAAGACGTCCGCGTAGAGGGGCTTTGCTCCATCATCAGCTTTTTCTGGTCTGGACATCCTCGAGAGGACCGGATTGAGCAGGCGAAACTCCTCACTAAGTTCATCCACCTGAAAGTCCGGATTGGTGAAGATGGTGGCGAAGCGCTCGTCCTTGAGCGGATTGGGCACAAACTTCTTGCTCTTCGACTTCTTCGAAGTGGCATTCGCCTCCTCGTCGAGCAGCAGCCTCTCTGCGAGGGCCCGATTGACCTTCGGCAGGCGGTCCTGGACGCTGACTCGGTCCACCCGTTCCGCCTCCAACCGCTCCCTGATCTTCGCCTTCCGGTACTCCTCGTAGGCGAACGGCTGCGAGGCGTCCCTCGCCTTCCGGTACAGCCGCATGTCCATGAAGTAGCCGTGCATGTAGGCTCGAAGGAGGTTAGTGCCAATCAGATCGGAGAGGCCAATCTCCGCCAGCTCCGCCTCGGTGACGAACTTGTAGTCGTCGTAGAGGGCGTCATTCTCCGTCGACTCCTCCAGCTCCTCGGTGATGCGGTCGAGGAAGGAGCACCAGCGGGGGGCGGGTCCAATCGAGGGAATGTAGTAGGAGAGCAGCTTCTCCGATTCATTCGCCAGGAAGAACATTCCTGAGTTAGGGTAGGCGGCGAGGCCGTTCAGGTCGCGGTCCGCCTGGATGGCCGTGTAGGGGGCGCCAGTGTGGCGGTTCCAAAACTTGACGATCTTCGAGTCGAGCGAGGCCACGAGGTTGAGGGGGCCGTCGAGGTAGGCGATCGATTTGATGGGCAGGCCGAACATGTGGTCCTTGGTGAGGTGAGGACGGTTGGCGCGAATGTCGTAGAGGAGAATCTGGCCGCCGCTGGTGCCGACGCCCATCGTCAGGCCGTCGTCGCGGAAGGCGATGGTGCTCACGGCGGGAATTCGCTTCGAGGCCAAATTGACCTCCGTCCGGACGACGTCGTAGGCGCAGTCCAGGGTGGCCACCCGCTCCCGGGCCCGCGTGTCCCACGCCTCGACGAGGCCCTCCTGCGAGCCGGTCACCAGGAGGTTGTGCACCGGGTTGAGGGCGACGGCGTTCAGCCCGGCCACGGCCCCGGTTTCAAAGGGCTTCAGGTAGGTGCCCACCTCGAGGTTGAGGCGGAAGATCTCCGGGCCGGCGCCGACGAAGAGGGCGTCGCAGGTGACGGCGTTGTAGGCCATGTCGCGGCCGAAGCGAGGGATGCGGGTCTTGTAGTAGAAGCCGAACTGCGAGTGCAGCTCCACGTAGCGCTCCTCCTCGAGGAAGAGCAGCTTCGAGTAGTCCTCCGAGAGGATGATGCACTTCACCACCTGCGCGTCGAGGCCGCGCTCGAACTTCAGCGCCAGCTGGTTCACGTCGTAGCAGCGCACCCGGGGCTTGTAGATGCCCGTCGCGACGATGTACTGCCCGTCCGGGCTGATGTTCACCGTGTTGCTCACCGTGGGCATGTCAAAGTCCTGAATTAGCTGAATGCGCCGGCGGAGGTCGACGTCCTTGCGCAGCAGCAGGCGCCGCTTCCGGTCTGACAGCCACTCCGGTATTGTCCGCCCGTGGCTGAGGTTGTACGTCTTGATGTCGTTCACTTCGGTGACCTGCATGGTGGTGGTGGTGGTGNGTAAAAGGGAGTTTAGTGCTGAACAGTAAAAAGGCGTTGATGTTGATGATCAGAATTTGTGAAGTCCAAAAGTTCAAAAGTCCAGAAAATCACCGGCACGTGCTGCACGCGGACACACGCAAACAACAAATGAATCCGTAGCAGCAGCAGCTGCAGCAGTAACTCGCGTGGAACACCACGTGTTTACAACCGTCGTTGTAGCATTCACTGCCGCTAGATGGCGACTTGGTGCTAACAAAAAAAATTTTTTTTGCAAACGTGTTTTTTTCT